CCCCTCAGAAGGTCCATGCATGGCGGCCGCCATCTTGGGGGGCGCAGGCGCAGTACGGGCGCTCCGCCTCCGTTAGCATCCAGCCCAGGCGAAGGGGGGAGTGAAACGGCGATGGTCACGCGCATGCGCTCCCCCCGGCGCCCTTCCGGGTTCGGGCGTCTGCGCATGCCCAGGCTCGCCACAGCCAAAGCAAACTGTTTGGGCAAAGACCGAGAGGACGGAGTCGCCCGCGGGCTCCCTCGGCCGAAGAGTCCGTTAGTCGCCCAGGCGTTGGCGGGCGGGGAGAGACCGTGGCCGGGAGAGAAAGGCTGAGGACAGGCCCGCGAGGGAGGAGTCCATGCTGAGTCCCGAGCGGGCAAGAGACGGAGCGAAGGCTGGCTGGTCCCTCCCTTCGGTTTTCAGCCTGCCCTTCCCCCCCACGAGCAGGGCAGAGGCAACGGTAGCCGGTCTTCCACGCCGATCCCTCGCATTCCCTCCCGGGTCCAGCGGAGCCCTCGGGGCCACACGGAAGCCCGGCCCGCCGTGGCTTCTCGCGTGCAAAAGAGGAACGGCTTTTTAAGCGGGCTCCAGCCCGGAAGGAAGCCCTTCCTTCCCCCCCCCCACCTGGATTCCCGGCTGGGAAGAGCTCGGCCTTCGGGCTTGACTCCCACCGTTTGTGCCGCCCGGTGGAGGACTGCAAGGCCCGTGTTTTTTTTCTCTCACGCGCAGCCGCCTTAAAATCCTGAATGGCGCGTCAGCGTTTTCTTCAGGCGACTTCACTGCTTTTTGGTGGAAAAAAGGAAAAAGCCCGGCGCCCTGGACCTCTCAGTCATATTACATCTCCATGTGGAAGCACTGGGGCTACAGCGCATGCGCGTTTCGCCCAAGCCGGTTCCAGGGCTTCAGTTTCTGCGCCTGCGCGGCGTAGAGCGTTCGCCAGGCGAAGATCGGCGCCTGCGCGTAACTGAGGCGGTGTGCCGCCGATCTGCGCCTGCGCCTTGCCTTAAGCGGGCAACCTTTGACCTTTTCCCTCAAGTTTAACCCCAAGCACCTTTTCGTGTAGTACAGTACACTCACCCTTTCTGACGGAGAGGGAACAAAAAAGCAGTCGTGCCCGGGAAGAAGACGAACCCCCCCCCCCGTGGAAGCGGAAGTTAAGGGGCGGGGCGAGGCGCCGGCCCGCTCGCCGGCTCGTGTGCGCATGC